CAAGATGATCTGCTCCATGACCTTCCCTGGCGCTGAGGTCAGACTGACAGGCCTGTAGCTCCCCGGATCCTCCCTCCGGCCCTCCTTGTAAATGAGCGTCACATTTGCCAACCTCCAGTCAAGTGGAACCTCCCTGGTCAGCCATGACTGCTGGTAGATGATGGAGAGAGGTTTGGCGAGCACCTCTGCCAGCTCCCTCAGTATCCTTGTGTGGACTCCATCCAGCCCCATAGAGTTGTAAATGTCTAATTGGTTGAGCTCCTGGATCATGGGAGCTTTGTTCTGCTCCCCATCCCCGTCTTCTGTCTCAGGGGGCTGGACCTTACTATTAAAGACTGAGGTGAAGAAGGCATTAAGTACCTCAACCTTGTCCTCATCCCTTGTCACTATTGTTCCCCCTGCATCCAGTAAAGGATGGAGGTTCTCCTTGGCTTTCCTCTTGTTGTTAATATACTTATAGAAAAATTTTCTGTTATCTTTCACAGAGTTGGCCAATTTAAGTTCTAGTTGGGCTTTAGCCCTTCTGATTTTTTCTCTGCAAGACCTCACTTCATCCTTGTAGTCCTCCTGAGATGCCTGCCCCCTCTTCCAAAGCTCATAGACTTTCCTCTTTTTTCTGAGATCCACCCAAAGCTCTCTGCTCAGCCAAGCTGGTTTTCTTCCCCGCCAGCTCATTATTTGGCACATGGGGATGGCCTGCTCTTGCACCTCCAGGATCTCCTTCTTGAAGAGCATTCAGCCTTCTTGGGCTCCTTTGGCCTTTAGGACTGCTTCCCAAGGTTCTTTATTGACCATCCTTCTAAACAGTCCAAAGTCTGCCTTCCATCCTTGCTTCTCCAAGAAGTGAGAATTCTATCATTTTGTGATTGCTGTGCCCCAGGCATCCTCCACTCCTTCTTGAAGAGCATTCAGCCTTCTTGGGCTCCTTTGGCCTTTAGGACTGCTTCCCAAGGTTCTTTATTGACCATCCTTCTAAACAGTCCAAAGTCTGCCTTCCATCCTTGCTTCTCCAAGAAGTGAGAATTCTATCATTTTGTGATTGCTGTGCCCCAGGCATCCTCCAACTGTCGTATCTCCCACAAGGCCTTCTCTGTTCACAAACAGGTCCAGCAGGGCACCTTCCCTAGTTGGTTCACTCACCAGTTGTGTCAGGAAGTTGTCTTCCACACACTCCAGGAACCTCCTACACTGTTTCCTTTCTTCTATATTATACTTCCAGCAGGCCTCTGGTAAGTTGAAGTCCCCCACAACAACAAGGGCTAGCAGTCGCGAGACTTCTTCCAGCTGCTTGTAGAATATTTCATCTGTCTCTTCACCCTGGCTGGACGGTCTATAGCAGATTCCTACCATGATATCTGCCTTATTGGACATTGCCCTGATTATTATCCATAGACACTGAACCCTATCATCACCATCACTGAACTCAAGAAAATCAAAACACTCTCTAATGTTGAGGGCTACCTCCCTGCCTCCTCCTCCTCCTCCTTCCTGTCTCCTCATCTCCTGCCTGAAGAGTTTATAGCCAGCCATGGCAGCAGTCCAGTTATGCAAGTCGTCCCACCATGTTTCCATGATGGCAATTATATCATCGTTTTCTTGCTGCACAGTGGTTTCTAATTCCTCCTCTTTGTTGCCCATGCTGCGTGTATTGGTGTAGATGCACTTCAGTTGGGCTACTGATCCCACCACTCTTCTGAGGGGGATAGTCTTAGTTCCTGAGTGACTACTCACTGTTGTTTCTAACCCATCAATAACTTTTGCATCTTTGCTGCCACTTGGAGTAATATCCCCCACTTCCTCTGAGGTGGCAGACTGAAGAGCCTCGCGAGCACACTGTCCCTCAGATGTTAGAGTGCTATCCCCAGGCCTATCTCTAGCAATCCTGGTTTCATCCCCCTCCTCCATCAGATCTAGTTTAAAGCTCTTTCATGAGCCCTGATAACTTCTTGGAAAGCATCCTTTTGTCCCTTGGAGACAGGTATACCCCATCATTTGCCAGCAGGCCTGGTGTTGTGTAGGCCAGCCCATGGTCAAAAAACCCCAAATTTTGCTCCTCACACCAGGCTCAGGGCCAGGTATTTATTTCCTGGCTCTTTCCATTCCTCCCCTTATGATGGTCTGGTTTAAGGTGAGAGTTAGTGGATGGGATTTCAGAACCAGTGGGTATTAATTCACATTTCATTATTGCCGATGGGAAAATTCTCGCTGACTTCAGTGGAAATACAGCTGAAGCTAGTGTGGGATGCCATAGTATATTCTGCACAAGAGCTCTCTTCAGTTTGGAAAGGAGGGGTTCAGGCAAACATTTTTTTCTGAGATGTTTTATAAAGCAAACCTGTTATCATTAAAAGCTTTCTGGGAATGCCAGAAAATGTGATGCCCATGCTGAGCATTGAGAGGAGAGAGGAAAAGCCAGTAATACATGTCTGTCTGTAGTTAGAAATTAATCTTACCTGCTTAAGAAATGTTAGATAAAATCTTAGGAAATCAGCTTGTCTAGGCACTTGAAGCCTAGGTTAATTTTATATTAATATAGATATTAATAATAGGTTTTGTTTCTCCTTCAGCTATGGCACAATCCAAAGGTTTTAATGGGAAATGAAAGCTGCTTCACTCAAAACATTTTGAATTTGACTGAGGCAAAGAATATTTCTATGTAGGCATACACGTTAGGTCTTTGTTGTCTGCTTTTTATTACCATTCTAGCTTATGTGATTCTCTGATGCTTGAATAAAGAGGAAGAAAGTTGATCAGGCTAAACTTTAATATGCCAATGAGATGCTTTCTTTCTTATATATGTTGCTGCAAATATAACGGTGTTTATTATGAGGTATTCAACCGGAAACAGAAATATTAAATTATTCTAATCATTGTACCCAAAGATAAAAATATTGAATAAGTAAATGGCTTGTTAAAATATCTTGAACCTAAGCCTTAAATGATGAAGAGGCAGAAAGATGACCTTTTGACACTCATTCAAAGGAAATTAAATTTTTGACCACAAAGAAAGACTTAAGATTTTCCTAATAAAATATTGCTCCTTTTGGTTGTTTCTGGTTGCAAATTTTTTAAGCCTTTGAAAAGAATTTAAATCCTAAACTCTGTTTAATTTGTTTCCTTTATGCACTGTAAGACTGCATCACATCTTAGTGCATATCAAAGAAACCGTCAGGCCTCAGAGGATCTACTACTGTGAGACTGCCAAATTCACAGTGACTGGAGTAGTGTTGATGGGGGTTGTCATTGTTTAGAAGATCTATTTTTTTTTTCCTCCCTTACTGATATATTTAATCTTACACAGTTTATTTGGAGCAGCTTTTAAATTTTCTCTAAAGTGGCTTGCACAAATGGCCAACAAATGACTAAATCATTTCATGTGAATCTTGTATCTTGTGAATTGAGATAAGAGGGAAGAATGGGAATAAGATGGAAAGGAGCTTATCAGAGGAAAATCCTTATTAATGCTAACATCCACATGCAAATTGTGGTTCTTACTCCTCCCTCCTAATTCTCGAGACATCTTGGAGAAGCCAACTACTTTGCATGGTGCTGTTACAGGTCCCTCTGCTCACCTGAGAACAGCCAGTTCTACGTAACCATCTTGTTGTCAACCAGTATCTCCAGCACAGGCGTCTTTGTGCAAGAGGTTTGAGTGCCAGAAGCATCAGCCAAGTTATTAAGAGATTCTGGTGCTATGTTCTGAATGCAAGAGAGCTGCCAATGTCTTGCTTTGAAGCATATACTATGAGCTTCCTTATATACTCTTAATAAGCCCAAAATACTGTGTGCTCAAGGTCTTCCAAGCTGTAAAAGAAAGTCTCACGCCAAATTTGCATATATGTGTATTATTTTGACTAACATATGATTTTGGGCACAACACTTTTCTGTTTCTTTCCCTTCATAAATATATTCAGAATTTGGGGTGTTTATTACATGTAAAGATCTTTTTTATCTCCAGAGAGCATCTTACTGGGTACATAACAGGTTGAAAAAATATCCTCCTCTTTCAAGTGTAGATCAGCACTCTTATAATGTCAGATATGAGGTTTTGATGATTTTAAGGGATTAGTAATGGGATATGGAGATTTTTCCCTGCAGCACGTTGGTTCATTTAGGGTGCTTTTCTCTATCAGATAAACATGCTGTTTGGTGAGCTCCATTGAGTTCATGTTCTGCAGGTGGCCCTGTTATGAAAAACAGCCTAAGTGTGCACCTTCTCTGAGGGACCCTCTGGGAAGACTGAGGATCAAGTTTGCGAAGGGGCTTGAATGCACTAGTTTTTTGAGTTGTTTAATGGAGTACTTGAGAGAGACACCAAAACTTACTATTACACAGCATAAAAATGATGTTAGGGCTAGCCTTGAAATCCAGTATTCTGTTTCCCAGGCTGCTGCTCTGACACTTTTAGCTTTTCATTCTATTCAGGATAGAATGAAATGCATTTAAAACAGCATTTTGATAGGAAATATGTAAGAATAACATCTGTCTTTTAGGCAGTAAATTACTGGTGTCTGAGAAAGGAGAAACTTTGTCTCAGAGCTTGAATAGTAACATGAGTTCAAGATGCAGTAAGATGTGCATTGAGTGATATTACTGCTGCCATGTTTTAATTTAGATTTGTGCACTTTTCCAGGTGATGGAGTTTTACTGCCAGTCCTGCGAGACAGCTATGTGCCGGGAGTGTACAGAGGGAGAGCATGCAGAGCATCCCACGGTACCACTCAAGGATGTGGTGGAGCAACACAAGGCTTCCCTCCAAGTCCAATTGGATGCTGTCAACAAAAGGTATGGAGACTCCACTGATTCTTTTCCATTTTCAGTTCTACCACTGGCTTCCTGTGTTAGCTTGGGTAGATGTTTTAATGTGCTGGTACCATGGACCTTTGACTAGAAAAGGAATAGTGAGGCTAGCATAAGGAAAAAAAATCCATTGTGTGTGATGCACTGAGGGATTAGAGAAAAGAGCAAAACATTCCTATGTGTCTTTCACAAAACAGAGGCTATTAGAAATGGAAGTGCCCTCCAAAGAAGGAGCATAGAATGTTAAGGTGAAAAGTACTAGCTAGTCATGAATTTCATGATAAATAATACTGGATGCTTAAAAGACTGGTACAAACACAATGGTGGCAGAAAGACTTTTTTTTTTTTTTTTTTTTTTTTTAAAAAAAGGTGGGGTAGATCTAGTTATATCTTCTGAGTAGATATATTTGCATAAAGGACAGAGCATCCAATGCCTCCTGGTTGGAAATTCTTGAAGTCTAATGGATTTCCACAAGGGAGGGCCTTGGCTTAGCCTTATTTTATCAGACCAAAACCACTATGTGGTTATAAAAGGAATGAACTTACTTCTGGGAAATGACCGAGTTTAAAGACAGCCTGCTGGTGAGATTGTTTCATCAAGAGGCATCAGGGCAAGGGCCAATGTTTAATGATTTTTGAAACAGCAATCTTTGTAATTCGATCCCTCCCTCAGGCTTCCAGAGATCGACTCAGCACTTCATTTTATATCTGAAATCATACACCAGTTAACCAACCAAAAGGCTAGCATTGTAGATGACATTCATTCCACTTTTGATGAACTCCAGAAGACTTTAAATGTGCGAAAGAGCGTGCTGCTTATGGAACTGGAAGTGAATTATGGCCTTAAACACAAAGTAAGATGCATGTTTTGTTTCAATGAAAAGCTATTAATTTGATCAGCCAGTTTTCACAAATGATGCAGGATGCCAGTTTGACAAATTGTGTCTGAAATCCAGAGAACTTTGTTTTCCTGAAATCAAGTGCTGCAGAGCCTCACTTGTGGGTGCCCCACCTTATGAATGGAGTCCAGACCCTGTATGGGCAGGTAGCCCTTGGTGCACGGTGTGTGAGGATCTAAAATGGCCAACACACTAAGCAGGCATCTACTTAAAGCCAACATGCTGGTGTGCAGATGACAATAAGGAAACACCAAGGGAAAGTCTGAAATCTTTGGGCTGCAATCCTACGAACCCACCCACCCCCCCACCAACAAAGATACTGGCCAAACAGTTTCTCCTGAAGAACTGAGCAAGGCTTACTGTTTTGCTTTAAAGCATTGTTTTCCTTTTAAATGTCTGGTAACATATTTCATGTTAATTGTCACTGGTTGGAACACTTAAAGATTGGAGAGACATCTCACTCTCTCAGGGGAATGCTAATTCCAGAGCTGTAGTCACTCTTTTACTTCCTATATGGATGATTGAATCTTGCATTTTTCGCCCTGTATTGTAGACTAAGCTTTAGAGGAAGAAAACAGAAATCTGCCCTTTTGCAAAGTGAAGCCTGTAGCCTAGTGGGTAGGGTTTTTGTTGAAGATCGGTAATTCTGAATCAGGCAAATGAAAGAATTTAGTCCTTGTCTTCCTGGGCATCAGTTGTCTGTTTTATATAAAATAAAGATCTCTTCCTTCGAAGTAACCTTTAAAAGAAAGTAGCATCAACAACTGGAGTTTCAAGAGTGCCGATAATATTGGCATCTTTGGGCATTCTCTGTGATTACTGAGCAGCTTGAGCATTTCCAGATGTCTGAAACAGAGAAATGCTGCATTCCAGGATCTGAAACAGGCTTGATCATTAGGAAAGTATTGAACTGCTGGGGCTGTGAAAATGGAGGAATTCTAACATGTGCACAAGATGTGTACTTTCAGGAACACAGGGAGCCCCAAACTCTTGGGGCACAGCATTTAGTCAGCTCCAGAGCTAAGTAGCAGCTGAGGAACCTCTAGCATCAAAAATTTGGACTTGGATCCCAGGTTAATCTAAAAGTATCCAAGATGTCACAAAAACTTCTTTTCTTAGGAAGCAAATATACTTAGGGTGTGTACAAAGTTCACACAAGATGGAATATGATCTTAAATTATCCAGTTGTTGTTTAAAAAGATTGAAAATAGCTTAAAAACTGTTTCGGACGTTAGAGAACCAAATTTTTACAAAGCTGCATGTAAGCAGTAAAAGAGGCAGCTCCTCTGTTTGTATAAAGAAGAGTGATTGGAATTGGATTTTGCTTTTGAATGAATAGTAGTCCTGCAAAATAATTCAAACCCAGATATTCCTTCATTCTGATCATGTACTTTGCAAAAATGAAAAAATGAAAGGGCTACACTTTACTAAAAGTTGGCAGTTCTGTTTTGGCTGTCCAATGGACTGAAAGAGGCCTCCTGTAAAATACTCTAAACACACTTTAAATATTAGTTATGGTAGGACTGAATTTCAATTTTCCATTTTTGTAATGAAAGAAAACTATATTGAGAAAACAACAGTTTTAAAATGTAGCTGCAAATTGTCTTTCTCCTCAGTTTGTGGTTTGTTATCCCAGGCATACGAGGTTTTGACATCCTGAGAGAGCTATGCTCTCTCTTTAACTACTTATGTCCTGGAATAAAGACAAGGCACATTAGAAATGCCTTGTTTTGAATCCTGAGAGGTTTATAGATGCCTAGAAAAACAATTAACATGAAATTTCAGTGTAGTCTTGAAATTTGCTCATTTTGTTTTGCTCGCAAAAGATTTTGTGTTGTTACCACTTTCCTGTACCAGGAACTCATCAGCCTGGATTTTCTCCAGTGGGTGAAAAGCAGATAGCTTTGTGAAATTCAGAAGAAAAATGCCCTTGGAATGCATTCTCATTACATGATGTGTCTCAGCAAGGGAAGAGTATCTCATAGCAATAAATACACCAAATATCTAAGTTTACTTTTAAATCAATGAAATGTTTCAAAAATATTTACAGTGATCGTCAACAAAATGACTTCTCTGATGTCTCTGATAGCACAGTAATGTCTGTGCCCTAGTCCTCTGTAGGAAAAACATACCACATGTGTGACTGGGTACTTTGGTTTGAGGGTTTTGTCAGTAGAGAGTGTAGGGGGTAGCTGGAATGTTTGAGCTTTCTATACTGTCATTAATTTCTCTGCTAGGTTGTTATAATTTAGGGATCCTTTTTCCAATTAATTGCAAAACTGGCTTTAAAAAAAAAGTTAGCCTTGTTCCCAGCCCACACCTAACAAATTTGAGGTCAATACTGTTTTAAGCATTTTAGACTGAGGGCCAGAACTGAGCCTATAATAAAAACTCTTTCTCAGTCTTAAATATAGAGTAGCTACTTGCTGCCTACCAAAATTTCAGGCTACTCAGCCCAACTCTTTCCAATATTGACAACCCATCCTCTACATTTTGCTTTTCTCCCTGCTGAAACTGGGGAGTCAACTTACCCACTTCTGCTGAGGAGACTTTCTTTCTTTCTTCACTTATTTAGATCAGGAATTACACTTTTCCTCAGGATGGATGTACAGATCTTGAGAGTATCTTCTTGTCTGTCTCCACAGAGGAGTAACCCAAGATTTCCCTTGTCTCTGAAGAAACAGTTTCAAGAAGTTTCTTGCAGCCTCACTTATTAATGGGACTGATGTCTCTAAAATATCTCTATCTCTTGTGCACACAGCTCATTTCCCAGTAACTCTGTCATTAACTGTGAGTGCTGAGAGTTAGATGGAGCAGAGTTCAAACTTCTGCATTTGTTTGGTTTGGGTTTTTTTTGTTTGGTTGGTTTGTTTTTTTAAAAAGGAACAAGACAGGTGGGGCAATCTAGTATGACAGTGGATTTGTGAAGCCTTGAAGACCTAAAACAGGGTACATTTTTTGTGTTGCAGCATGATATTGGACATGTAGCAATCAGCGAGGTACTTTTTCTGAAATGAAACTTTAAAATAAATTCTAAAATAAAGCACTATAAATTGGGTTTCTACAAAGGCCTTCAGTTATAAAGCATGCTACATATTGCTAGGATAATTCTTGTAACATGATGCTAATCTGGTGTTTGGTAATGCACACAGGTCCTCCAGACACAGCTGGATACCTTACTTGAAGGACAAGAAAGCATTAAAAGTTGCAGTAACTTTACGGCCCAAGCCCTCAACCACGGCACTGAAACAGAAGTTCTGCTGGTGAAGAAGCAAATGAGTGACAAGCTGAATGAACTGTCTGAGCGAGACTTCCCCTTGCAGCCACGTGAAAATGATCAGTTGGACTTCATAGTGGAAACAGAAGGCCTGAAGAAGTCCATTCACAATCTGGGTACTATTTTAACCACCAATGCTGTTGCCTCTGAAACAGTTGCCACAGGTGAGGGACTGAGGCAGACAGTGATTGGACAGCCCATGTCTGTTACCATCACAACTAAGGACAAAGATGGGGAGCTTTGTAAATCTGGGAATGCTTACCTCACTGCTGAACTGAGCACGCCTGATGGGAGCGTAGCAGATGGAGAGATACTTGACAATAAAAATGGCACTTACGAATTTTTGTATACTGTTCAGAAAGAAGGGGATTTCACTTTGTCACTGAGACTTTATGATCAACATATCAAGGGCAGCCCATTCAAACTTAAAGTGGTCAGATCAGCAGATGTGTCCCCTACCACTGAAGGGGTTAAGAGGCGTGTTAAATCTCCTGGCAGTGGTCATGTGAAGCAGAAAGCTGTGAAAAGACCTGCGAGCATGTACAGCACTGGCAAAAGAAAAGAGAATCCCATTGAAGATGATTTGATCTTCAGAGTAGGTATGTGACTTGTCTGCTACCTGTTGACATGCTTAAAAGTAGTTCAGGGAAACTGGATGAAAAAATCTAGAAGTTAAATTATTTTAAGGTTTAAGTTATCAGTAGAGCAAGCTGATAATACCTTTAGGCCTCTTGACTTTTGTTCATATGTAAATTTTACAAGCACATACTTCAGAAATTCTGTTTGCAGCAAATATTTAATTGGAACTTGGGTTGAGAAATGCATACATTTGATTTAGGATAAAATATTTTACCACCTCTTCTGTACTTTATTGGGCATCATAAAATGAAAATATAGTAAGATTGATTACTATATTACTTCTTTTAAAAATTACATGGCATACAGGGAAGTAGGAGGACTCCTTCTCTAAAACTATTGTCCTAAAGATTAATCTAATTAATTAACTTGGAACTGTACATGCTAAATCCTGTGGTCATACATAGTTGTTCCATTATGTGAGCATAGGACAAAATGATGATTTATTTTATTTGCTTTTTTTCCTCAATATCTAAATATGTTTGGTTCTCTATATAGTGTAATGTTATCTCTAAATCTGTGGATTTCTAATGCTTAATAAACATATAACATCTTGGTGTTATTTACTGCAATTTTCTTTCAGGTCTTTTGATGTACTCTGTTTTTAAACTATATAATAATAATGCATTATTTTAAAAGTCTATACATGGGGTATTGTATTGATATAATGTCAGTTTATATAGTTAGAAAATACTTTTCACTTTGCACAACTAATTAAAAAAAAAGGCAAGTTAATTCTTAATATGCACAAATCAGGATTACAGCAGTTAGTGTTACCAAGTTTGACAACCAGTTGGCAAGGTTCCCCTTTGTAGCAGGGAATGGATGATGGTTAATCCTGGAGGAATTTTTAGTAATTCTATTGAAAATTCATCTGTACACCATTTGTTAGTTGATTAACTTTATCCATCTGATTTCTCATCTGTCAGTATTTCTAATAGATTCCTTGCTTTGATGGAGAGTACCTGCAAAAACATAATGGTTTTATATCAGAAAATGTATTCAGCAAGCGTGCTTTGGTTACTGAACAGGACAGTACAATGTCAACTTTGGACAAGCCACTCATAAAATGACTGGCCTTTCCCAGTGCATTTCCTAGTAAGAAAAATGGCCCCATAAATTTAACAACTCAAAGCATTTTTTACACAGGCGATGATATCCAGCTTCACTGTTGCTAAGGCTACATTTTATGGTGACTGCTGAGTCAAAACTTAGAAATATAACATGGAACAATTCAGCAATTCATCCTGAAGTCAAGCCAGCCCTACTCAGCAGTAACCATGCTTTATTGTCCAAAGCTGGTAGGCAACCTTTGTTAAATTAGTACCCAGACATAGCCCGTCCTCTAGCAGGAAGGTGTTCTTGTTGCAGAAGCTGTTGCTGTAGTCACCACTACAGGCAGAGCCCCTGTCAGCAATCCCAAAGGGAGAGAAGCCCTTGCAGAGGGCAGAGTGATCAGCCTCAGGCTCCCGCTGGAATGGAAAGGGACCTGTGGCTCTTCCAAATGCAGTTGCACTGCTGGTACTGGTAAGAGTGGCAGAGGGCATGTATAAATGTAGCCTAGATCTTTTTTGGGCCCTGTTTTGAGACAGGGTTAAACAAAACAGTTAAGAATAATGTCTGAACCCTGTCTAGAAAAAAAAAACAACCATCTCTCTAATCTCTTCTGGAATGGTTGTGACATGTTGTATGCTTGACAGAGAAGAGGCTGGATGGACAGATTCAGGCAGAAAGAGTCCGTGGGTCTGTAGCAGGTGGGAGCAGCATAGGAAAGCCTGCACAGGTACACTGTGCCTGTGAGTAACAGGGGAGCTAAGCACCAGTTTGTCCCGGTGTGGGAATTGAAGATCTAAATATTAAAAATGAGAGAGGTCCTGAAAAGGCACTTTTGGTATGGATTAAAGTGATTTAAGTTTGTAATTTCTGCTTCTGTATCCCTTGCTTCTAGTGAGCAGTTTCTAGCCTGACTATCAAATAGTGGTACGGCTCTGGCTGGATTTTGTGGTAGTTGTTTGTTTGGTTTTTTGTTTTTTTTTTTTTTTAATTATTCTCTCCAACATACCATAAACTCTAGAAGTCTTAAATGTTTTCCAAAAAATGCAGGGCTCTTTTGTTCTGTTGTGATGCAATCATGACAATGTGCTTTATTTTGGAGTTCTGCCTCCTCCCTTCTTCACCACTCTACCCCTCAAAAAAAAGAAGAGAACGTAATTAGAACAAGAACTGCGCTAAGTCTCAGAGCTTTTGCTTGAGGAAACCTTTCAGGAGTGTCCACATTTGGGATATATGGATTGCTATTTTATTGAAAAACTGAGCTGAGAGTGATACTTTGTCCTGTTACATGTTCAGTTCTCAGCCACTAATTTTACGGAATGACTCTACACTGAGATGTCCCTCTGGGCTTCTGTGGACTTGTGTATGCAACGTCTGAAAGGACTCTTAAGCCATTGCAGCTGTAATGCTCTAGATTTTACACTGTTACAAAATATGCTAAATTAATGAAGACAGGTAAAACTTCTGACATTTTCACAGGGATTGCCTTCACAGATTTAAGAGTTCATTTAGTTCCAGTTTTAGCTTACTTTGAAAAGTTAAAGTTTGACTCATTTATTGATGAGGTAATGTAAAATAAAGCTTATCACTGTTTTCCAACACAATGGTGTATCTCTATTTTGAACCCATTGTTGAATTCCTCTAATAGCCCTGGCCAAATCTGGATTTGTATTTTAAACTGGGCAAGATGAATCTTATATTTGGGCTGCCAGAAGCTCATACAGCTGTGTTGGAGAACCATACTGTAATATTCCTATGGGCATCCAAGTATATGAAATATGCTATTGTATATATGCTGATATATGGGCTTTTATGCACAAGTAAATCAATCAGTTCCTAGCAAGTGATTGTTCTTGTACCTGGTATTAACAGAAATAGCATTAGTACAACATTAGTACAGTTAAGTGCTTTCGCTGATGGGGAATTGTGCATTGTATCTTTTGCCAGTTCTGTGTTATTCATGGCTTTAAAAATGGCATGTGGTTCTATTCAGACATCTTAAGGTCAAGCTATTGACTACACATTCATACGTTTGTGTAATTCATTATTTACAAGACTAGAGTGTTTCTTGCTTCCTTCTCTCTCAATAATTTATATCCTCAACCTTATTTTAGATTTTTTTTTTTTTTTAAACAGGCATGATCTCCAAGGGTGTGTCCATGCAGTATCTGTGTAGCATGTACTTAGTTTATGGAAAAGAAAACAAGAATGTGCTGTGATACCCAGAAAATAATTGTTGTGCAATTGTTTTTGCTACCTCTACAAGTGCTAGGAAGGACTGAAGTGGAAAGAAAGGCTCTTTTCCGTTACCTTGCTTTTGTGCCGTAGTCCCATGCTGAGCAGGCATAAGCAGAGGTGAGGGCTGTTCACAGTGCCAGCCACTTCCACCTTCCCTGGTAAATCTCTCCCCTGTCCTCCAAAGGAGGGTTAAGAGCAATGGGTGGCGTCAGTTAGCTACTCTGTCCCCGACACCATCTTACGCTCTAGCTCTGCCATGCTGTGCCGTATGCCTTGGAATTTTTTCTCTTCTGCCACTTTTAATAACCGAGTTCTTCAACACCATTTAGCAATAGTGGTGCTATTTCCCACTTTAATTGCTTTTTCTCTTCATTTATTTATACTTGGGATTGGCATCAGATACAGCCAGATGGAGAGTTGGCTCTCTGCTAAAAGTTCAATTTTCCTTTTCCTCAGACTGTGTTTAGTTGTCTCTTCACTCATATAACTGAGCATCTAAATTTAGCTGGTACATTTAATGTGTGTAATTCACTCTGATTAAAAAAAAAAAAAAAAAAGAAAAAAAGTGCCTTTAACAGTACTTCCTGTCAGCCTTCTTACCAGGTGTGGATGTCATCTTCTGGTCTGCTATCAATGCTGAAAGCAAATAGGAGCCTTATTGTGAATTTACTCCATGTGAAAACTCATGAACAAGGCCTGTGTAATAGCCTTAGTGCGGTTTAGAAGGAGACTTATGGGGAGAAATGTAATCGTTATTAGGTGTTTCTTCTTTAATTTTCTCTGAAGGCCTCTGCCTGAATCTCTGTTGGATTGTCCTGTTTGAAAGGAGCAGGGCTGCCTATAGATATATACTTTTTGAACTTTTACAAAAGTCCAAGTAAGTTATACGGGTACACATCTACTTGAAAAAAAAGGTGTATTTTTCCAGCTGCAGTTAGCCCCCTTGTATGGAGGGTCCAGAGGAACCTCCTCCCCTGTAGGAAGCAGCTCTTGCTTCCTCCCATTGCTTCATCCTTTCTCTACCTTTCCAGCAAGGTCTGGTCCTGGACGGATTGCAGCCTGGCTAAGGACATTGGGGAAGGAAGGGATGTGTATGTGTAGTTGTTCCCTGTAGTGCAGAAGTGTGATACATGAAATGCAGAGGCACCTCTGACACACTTTCATCAGTTGTTCTTCATTCTGTTTCAGAACTCTGGAACAAGCCCATTAATAAGTAGTATGAAATAGTGAGATGTTTTCTATACAGAATTTATATTTCTATAGAAACAGGAAAGCCTAGTAATGGGGAAATAGAATTTCATTTTCCAGTTTATTAGTTCAAATCCCTCTGAGGCTTGTAATGAGCTCCTCATGGGTTTGTGATGGCCAGTGTGAAATTTGGCCAGGCCTACATTGTATAGTTTTACAGTCATACCTGCATTGGACAGGGGCTGAAGAACTCCAACATCACATTGCTGGCAAAATTCCCAATGTGAGTCTGATGTCCTGACAACAGAGACCTAGTCTTGCTTCGACTCATGTTGTTTGGGGTTTTGCTACTGTACCCACGAAGAACTGCTTCTGAGGTGCACCTACCCCAGGATTTGTGCATACCTAGCTGTGGTGGCACGGGCTCTACTGCTTAAGCAAGGCTTGGAGGTGGTTTTGGCCAAGCTTTTAAGGACAGATGCTGTGTAAAACAAATTAATGCAAATCAACCCAAATTTCACTACCAACAGTATGTGGGAGTATCTGCCAGAG